CAAACTTGTTGTTTTATTATTCAACTTCATTCGTCCCCCTCTCTCTCTGTGTGCGTGTGGCGCGCTCAAAGCTCGTGGGCGACACGTCGTTCACTTCCACGTTGTCCGCTCGACTTCTTTAAAAAAATGTTACAATTTTTTAAAATAAAAAATAAATTTGTATTAAAATGTTTTTTTTTTTAAGGAGTTTCTTTTAGTGGGTTTACCTATACAATGCATGGGTCTCCTTGCATATCTAGATTATATTTATTAGTTCAACAACAACAACGAGAACACCGCTGCCGGGTGACTACCTAACACGAGGTCTGACCCTGCGTAGTAAAGTGTTGTGTGTTGCTAAATTGGTTATGGCTACAAAGTATGTTTTAATGGATAGTATTATTCCACACAAACTTTGCGTTTGTGAGCAGGACTTTACGTGAAGGGATGACACAAATGCACGCCACGTTTTTTTATTTAAAATAGTTAAATTTATCAATGTCCTGGGTCACAAAAGCAACGTTTGTGAGGAGATTTTATTTAAATTTATTTTTAATTTATTTTAGTTTTATTTATTTCTACCTACGTGACTTTACTGAAAAAAACCTCCGAGTATGAATCCTTGCAGTCACGAAAGCTTCAAATTTAGAATTTGTTGAGATTAACAATAGCCACTTTCTCTACTTTTGAGACATAAGCTATTAGATAATAAAACTGTACTACTAAGGGACAATGTTGTTGTGACACTGTTATTAATGGAGTGGATTATTCACTTCGCTTTTGTGTCCTGGGTCACACAAGCAACGTTTGTGTGGAGTATTAAGAGCCCACTTTCTCTACTTTTGAGGCACTAGCTATTAGGTAATAACACTTTACTACACAGGGACAACAATAAAACATGTTTTTGTTACACACTGAATTATCTACTTAATCGAGGAAATCTCTAAAGCTTTCGTGACTGCAGGGACTTGTCTTCTTGGTTCTTTCGGTAAAGTCGCGTAGAAGGGCTCGTTTTTTGTCTGAAATCCTACGGCCTGTCACTGGAAAAAACACCTCTGCGGTACTAAACTCTACTGATCTGGTATCGACAATCAAGGGGATTTCCCTGTCCCCAGACGACCTGCTTGTCAGTTTGGATGTGGTTTCCTTATTCACCAAAGTTCCTGTACCTGACACCATCGCAATCATTGAAGACTTGATTCATCAAGGACTGAATGCTGGGGTACCCCCCCCCCCCCCCTGGTGAGACACTGCTTAACCAATACATACTTCACCTGGAATGGAACTTTCTACAAACAAACTGAGGGTACCCCAATGGGCTCCCCCCTATCTCCAGTTGTAGCCAACGTTTTCATGAAGAAATTTGAGACTGACGCCATCCAGACTGCCACTCTATGCCCGACCTTGTGGAAGAGGTACGTAGATGACACTTTTGTCATTTGGCCACATGGCCGGCCTGCTCTAGACCAATTCCTCGACCACATCAATTCCATACACCCAGCCATCAGATTCACCATGGAAGTCGAAAAAGATGGCAAGCTACCCTTTTTGGATGTCCTAATTAAAAGGAGACCTGATGGTTCAATGAGCCATTCTGTCTACAGGAAAGCCACCCACACGGATGCTTGCCTAAAACCGGATTCCCACCACCATCCATCCCAGAAAAACTCCCTCGTCAAGACTCTATACCAGGGGTCCTCAAACTTTTTAAACAGGGGGCCAGTTCACTGTCCCTCAGACCGTTGGAGGGCCGGACTATAGTTAAAAAACAACTATTAACAAATTCCTATGCACACTGCATATATCTTATTTTGAAGTGAAGAAACAAAACGGGAACATACAATATTTAAAATGAAGAACAAGTAAAGTTAAATCAACAAACTTGCCAGTATTTCAATGGGAACTATGGGCCTGCTTTTGGCTAATGAGATGGTCAATGTCCGGTTCCATATTTGCCACTGCTAGTCGTAACAAGTGATGCAAGTGTGCATCCGTTAGTCTAGATCTGGTTGGAGATTTCAAATGTTTCATTCTGGAAAAAGTGTGTTCACAGACATAAGCGCTGCCAAAGATGGTTGCCATTTTGAGTGCATGGTTCCTGAGATGAGGATATGTCTCAGAGGGGAGAGATGCATAGAAATTATGAAGGCTGCTTGACTTGAATGCGTCTTTCAGAGTCACAATTCTGCAGTTCAGCGAGTTCCATTTGGTAAATTGTATCCACATTTTCAATGTCAATAGAAAATGGGTTATGGAAAAGCTGTATGTCCTGTTCATGGAGATGAAGCTCTTTAAATCTAAATTGGAACTCCTTTTGCAATTTTTCCAGTGAATCCACACATGTTTTGTTTGGGAATGCAACCAATGTTTTTTCCGCTAACAGATTTTGAGTTGTGGGAAGATGGCAGAAGTTTTCCTCCTTCACTTGTTTGATGAGGAGGCCTAATTTTACTTCAAATGCTTTGACATGTGATTACATCACAGATGAGCTTCCCCTTTCCTTGAAGTTGCACATTGAAACTGTTGAGTAGCTCTGTTACATCTGTCAGAAAGGCAAGGTGCCATTTCCATTCTGCATCATTGAGCTCTGGTACTTTTTTGTTTTTTGAAAACAGAAAAGCTGTAATCTGTGGAAGTAAGTCCTAGAAACGTTTCAAAACTCTCCCTCGACTCAGCCAACGGACTTCTGTGTGGTACAGAACATCTTCATAGTCAACATTTAGCTCGGACAGAAATTCCTGAAATTGTCTGTGGTTTAGTGCATGATCTCTAATGAAGTTAACAGTCCCACTTCAGTGATTTACTACACAGCGCTTGTTGGTGGATGAGGCAGTGTATGGCTATTGGATGAGAATGGTTATGTTTGTCCATCTCTTGGTTAATGCGAGCAATTACTCCTTTCTTAGACCCCACCATGCTAGGAGCACAATCAGTTGTCACACTGGCTAGTTTAGCCCAGTTCAGCTCCAAACCATTCACAGTTTGGCAAACCTTTTCATAGATATCCTCTCTTGTAGTTGTTCCTTTGGTGCTTTGCAGTGCAGCAAGCTCTTCTGTGACTTCGAAATAGTCATTCGTCCCACAAATAAAAATTAGAAGTTGTGCAGAATCACGAACATCGTTGCTTTCGTCGAGTGCCAAGGAAAAATAGGAAAGTTTTTTTTGTGGAGTTTTGCAAATGCTGATGGAAATTGTCTCCCATTTCTTCAATCCTCCGTGTAATTGTAGGTCCTAAAAGACTCACTGTACTAAATAAATCGGCCTTCTCTGGACACATCTCTTTGGCAACAGAAAGAAGGCATTCTTTAACAAATTCTCCCTCAACGAATGGTCTGCCAGTGCACACTATTAGCTTGGCAACTTGAAAACTTGCTTTCAGTGATGAAATATTTAGCTGCTTCTGCTTCACAAAAGTATTTTGCGGAGTTAATGTATTTTTCAGTTTTAATATTTTATCTTTTCTCACTTCTCCGACCAAACAATCATATTTATCTTTATGTTGAGTTTCATAGTGTCGACATAAATTGTATTCTTTGAACACAGACACTATATTCTGGCATATCAGACACACAGCTCTTTCCTTGTACTGCATGAAAAAGTAATCATAAGTCCACTGTTTTTTGAATATCCTACACTCCGAGTCAATTTTTCTCTTTCTTGACATCATTGTTTCCTAGGGAGTCAAAATTGCTATTAGTAAAATACCAATATATATACAGCGCTACAAAAACAATATAGCAGCAATAACTTTGCCCACACAGAGACATACAGACTGCACTGCCCATCAATGCAGTCTGATTGGGGGAACTCCACTTTTACCCCAGGCTCACACTGGTGTGGGTGCCATTACAAAGTTAATTACACCTGCAGTTTTGTTCACAGATCGCAGTGCGATCTGCGAACTCGCATAGGAATATGATCGCATGGGGGAGAAGACCCATGCGATCCACTGCAGGAAAAAAGGCACATGTGCCTTTTTTTCTTCCGAATCTAATGCAAGTTCAGCCATACAAGCATATGGCTGAACTCGCACTGCTCAGAGATCGCAACAGTATGAACCGGGGCTTACACAACATACAACATATAACCTCATATAATTGAATAGCAATCAGAATATAAATGCACTTACTGTCATTTAAATTGGGTTTCCTACTCCTCGGCTGTCTGTCACTGACTAGCACGGGAAAACAGCAGGCAGCCCCTCCAGAGATCAATCTGTTATTACCCCTCTATCATTTACTCAGCACACAGGAATATCACTGAGAGTGGAGCCGAGGGGCAAGTGAGGGAGCTGAGGGAGGGAGAGCCAGTCAAGCGCAGCCAGGGGAGGGCTGGCAGCCTTAGGCCTGGCGGGCAAATCCAGTCAATTGGCCCATTGAACCATTCACCAGCGCAGCCCAATGAGTGCCCACCGCCGCAGCTCAATCAGTGCCCACCGCCTCAGCTCAATCAGTGATCACCAGCGCAGCCAAATCAGTGCCCACCGCCGCAGCTCAATCAGTGCTCGCCACCGCAGCCCAATCAGTGCCCACCACCGCAGCCCAATGAGTGCTCACCAGCGCAGCCAAATTAGTGCTCACAAGCGCAGCCCAATTAGTGACCATGGGCCGGATAAATGTCCTCGGCGGGCCGAATGTGGCCCGCGGGCCGTAGTTTGAGGACCCCTGGTTTAGACGGTACGGAGGTCACGGTTTAAAGTTCTCAACATCCACCAAAACCAAGAATGGGCCAACATCCCACCAGAGTGGGGCGCGTGAAGCGCGAGGCGAGACTGCGCTAGAAGCTGGTGCAGCAGCTCGATGCTGCCGGCGCCTGAGATGCCGACACGTGCAACTTGGCCAAGGTCCCTTCTACATCCGCGCGTTAGCAAGTGAAGGGTGCAACAGGGTGCAACACAATCACGCACGAGGCACTTGGTGTCTTGTGGGCTTTATTTACGTTCCAATAAGAGATAAAGATACAGCGAGGTACACAAAGTGCTGCAACGAACGCTTCGCAGCTGCTAAGGCCGCTTTGAGCTCAACGGCAAAAAGACCGAGTTTATCAGCGATGCAAAGTAAGCAACAACACCCCTTGTTTAAGGGACATTCAAAAAAGGTTACTAAATGTAACTTTTGCACTATTGACAGGAACAACTTTGTTCAAAAAGTTACTCGCGCTAAATCTTACAAAAACCCTGGGTAATTACGTAACAACTTTTGGTGCCTACATTTTCCATGTTTTATATGAAAAAATTAAAAAAATCAAAAGTGAAAATCGCCATGGAACAGCATTAATGGCAGTATTTGCCACATTGAAGCATCATTTGTGCAGAAATGTCTATTGAGGTACAACTTACCATTCCCATCAACTCAAACCTTGGCAGTCAAATATTCAGAGGCATTACGTTGCAAACGAGGTCACGGTGCATAATACCACTCAATGGCAAAGAGGCTCAACTGTGCCGGTCGCCAGAGGCTTTCGTCCAATATCAAAACAAAAGTAACTTTCGGTTTAAAGTCTTTAAACGAGATGCAAATGGAGACCGCTCGGCCAACGAGTTCTTCAGGGTTTCCAGCCTCGCCAGCAGCTCCCGACGTCGAATCTGCTCGCGCCGCTTCTCCGCCTTGAGTCTCTCCTCCTCGCGCTTCAGGGTGCGCGAATATTCTATCGCGCGCTTCAGGATCTGCGCCTTGGCCGCCTTCTCGTCGTGCGCCAGCTCCGGTATGCCGCTGCGCAGCCACTGGAAACCCTTCTTGATGGAGTCGCGCCGCCGACGCTCCTGGTCGTTGTGCCGCTCGCCAAGCCCCTCCGAGCCGCCGGAGCTCCGAGGGCCACCGCCGCTCCCCGTCGAGACGGCGCGGGACGAGCCGGCCCCGCCGGCGGCGCCCCGGCTCCGCGCGGATCCCCGCGGCGCCGGCGGGGGCGGCGTCTTCGCCCCGCGCGCAGGCGGCGAGGGGGCGGCGTAGTTGTGCTGCTGCTGGTGCACGGGCGGCGTGGACGCCGGCGGGGCGAGTCGCCGCCGCTGCTGCCGCCGCTGCCGCCGGTTGTTGTCGTTGTACAGGGGGGCCGTGTTTGTGTTGTGCACGGCGCGTAGCGCCACGCTCGCTTTGGCGTGGCTCCACTTCTCCACGGTCACCGCGTCAATCTCTCCATCTTCCGCGTCGTCGTCATTGTCTGCAGAAGGGAAACACGTATACGTCAGCAACGCAATGTAGAAAAATGCAACATTATAAACCTAAACTGCGCAGGTGTAGTGCCAGAAGAGGGGAGGAGCTGCTGGGGGCTCTGGGACCCTAGACAGAGAAGCCCTCGGTGCCAGGCGCTAGGATCCCAGGCAGCCCAGACAGTTAAGCCCCTTGGCACCACCAACAGGGGGGCTGTGTGTGCTCTGTGGGATATCTGGGGGCACACACAGCCCCACCCCTCGTTGGGCACGAGGCATAAAAGGGCAGCTCCCTGGACGATCGGGGCCAGTCGCAGGTCAAGACCCGCCAGCCAGCCAGCTTAGGACCCTGTACCCCCTCGTCCCGCTTGTCCTTGTAAGGGCCGGGATGCTGTGAGGGCCAGTGGTGGGACTCTGGGACTCCCGGCTCTACGTCCTTGTAAGGGCAAGTTCCGAGTCCAGACCCCCCCACCGTGGCTGGGTTGGGTCAGGTAGCTCCCCTAGGGTAATTGTAGCCAGAGGACCCCAGAGCGTAGCCAGAGTAGTGTATCTAGGCTGTGTACCTAGGCTGTGTACCTAGGCTATAACAGAGTATCAGCACTGTTGAGGTGTTGTATTGTAATAAAGAAGTTACTTCTACAAGTGTCTCCGGAACCCATTACACAGGTACAGGACCTGTTGAAATGTACACACGCAACATTCGTGTAGTGAGCTTGACAACTGTAAGTTTGTTGTAAACGAAGATGAACAAGCTAATTCGAGAAGTTTTCGTGACTGCAAGGATCCATACTTTTTGGAAGGATGTCATTGACCAACTTTAGCAGCCTCACAGTTCACTGCAGGGTTAGGGGTTAGGGTTAGGGTCAGGGGTTAGGGGTCAGGGGTTAGGGTAGGGGTTAGAGTTAGGGTCAGGGGTTAGGGGTTAGGGGTTAGGGGTCAGGGTTCGGGGTTAGGCTCCACCCCCCCCTCTTAACCTCTATGTAATCTCGTGTCTCTCAGAGCTCGCTTCACTTGATACGGTGATTTTGCTGTAACTGTTCCACCTGAAGATGGAAGCTCGAGTTGCCTCCGAAACGTCGTGATTAATTTCATGTTTGACCTGCGTGACTTGACCGAAAAAAACAAAAGGCACGACCGCGCTAAACACGACCGAATAAAGAAACACGCAAAACAGCGTGCAAGTCTCACCCGAATCACTGCGCGTCTCGTTGCCGGGAGACATCGCCCCGCCCACGACAGTCTCCCCATCCTCCCGCCCCTCGGCCGGCAGGTGCCGCCCTCCCGGCTCAAAGGGCAGCATCTCGGCGGGCACCGCGGCGGCCGCGGGGCTCGGCACGGCGCGGGAGACCGCGGGCGGCGGCGGCGCCGACTTGTCGGCGGGCGCCAGCCGCCCCGGCGTGGCTCTGGCCGAGGAGGCGGCGCTGCTCCACATGCAGTCCCGCAGCAGCATTACTCCCACGGCTCCCACGCCGCTGCCGCCGGCGGGGTCCCAGACGTGGCCGCGGCTCGCCACTTCGCCGCCTTCGCGGCTCGGATCGCCCGAGGGCGGCGGCGTTGGCGTTGAGTTCGCTCCGTCCAGCGCGGGGGGCAGGAGCTCAAACTTCTTCCAAATGTCCTCGCTGGGCAGCGTGGACTGGTGCCAGTCGCTGTGCAACTCCTCGCCGTTGTAGAAGGTCGAGGAGGAGGAGGAGTCATCCCTGCCGGCAGACATTGCGTGGATGATGACGACGCTGCTGCTACACGTGGTGATGATGATGACGCTGCTGCTACTTTCGTCACGCGACAACACGCCGCGTGGTGGCGGGTAGGGGTTGTTGTTCTTGTTTACATTCCACCACCACCCTCCTCCCTGTTGTTGTTGCGTCTTGTTTACTTCTTCTGCAGGGGGCCGCCGGGCTCGCCTGTAACAACAGCAAACAATAAAGAAAGCAGCGTCGTTAACAAAGCGAGCAAACACCACACAGAGTCGTAAGTGGCGCTGTTACTCATCCACAGCTCAATTTCATTCATCTCCGGGACGTTAAATTTCGATTTAAAGCTTTCGTGACTGCAGGGATTCATCTTCTTGGTTCTTTCGGTAAAGTCGCGTAGAAGGGAAACAATAAAATAATAAAAATATAAAACAATAACAATTCTCACGACGTTTCGTGTTGCAGTCGACACGTCGTGAGAATTTTTATTGTGTAGTGAATACTTGGGACGCAAGAGGGAGCGCACACACAGGGTGACATACACACACAGGGTGACACACAAAGATCCCCCATATAGCCTTAACAGACTGTAGGGGCAAGTGCTGTTAGCAAGCACCTATGAAGGCCGGAACGGTACACGAGGGGGTGGGTGGCCAGCACCACGCCCGACCGCCTTTGTCTCCCTAGTGGCAATGTTTACACACCGCACCAGGTACTCATTTGAGGCTGAGTCGACCTAGGGAAGGCCCGGGACCGGTTCAGACAATCGTCTGATGTTGGCCGTGAGCAGGAATCGAACCCGGGTCGCCAGGTTCATAGCACAGCACGCTAACCGCTACACTACCGCTCCCCATACAGCGTGACACACACACAGGGTGACACATACAGGGTGACACACACACACAGGGTGACACACACACACAGCGTGACACACACAGGGTGACACACACGCACATGGTGACACACACACACAGGGTGACACACACATGCACACAGGGTGACACACACACACAGCGTGACACACACAGCGTGACACACACACAGGGTGACACACACACACACACAGCATGACACACACAGGGTGACACACACACAGGGTGACACACACACAGGGTGACACACACACAGGGTGACACACGCAGGGTGACACACACGCACACAGGGTGACACACACACAGGGTGACACACACAGGGTGACACACACACAGGGTGACATACACACACAGGGTGACACACACAGGGTGACATACACACACACAGCGTGACACACACACAGCGTCACACACACACACAGCGTGACACACACACACACAGGGTGAGACACACACACAGGGTGAGACACACACACAGGGTGACATACACACACAGGGTGACACACACACACACAGGGTGACACACACACACACAGGTGACACACACACACACAGGGTGAGACACACACACAGGGTGACACACACGCACACAGGGTGACACACACACGCACACAGGGTGACACACACAGGGTGACACACACAGGGTGACACACACACGCAGGGTGACACACACACGCAGGGTGACACACACACAGGGTGACACACACACAGCGTGACACACACACAGCGTGACACACACGCACATAGGGTGACACACACACGCAGGGTGACACACACACACAGCGTGACACACACACACACAGCGTGACACACACACACACACAGCGTGACACACACACACACACAGCGTGACACACACACACACACAGGGTGACACACACACAGGGTGACACACACACACAGGGTGACACACACACACAGGGTGACACACACACACAGGGTGACACACACGCACAGGGTGACACACACACAGGGTGACACACACACAGGGTGACACACGCACACAGGGTGACACACGCACACAGGGTGACACACGCACACAGGGTGACACGCACACAGGGTGACACGCACACAGGGTGACACACACACACAGGGTGACACGCACACAGGGTGACACACACACACAGGGTGACACACACACACACAGGGTGACACACACACACAGGGTGACACACACACACAGGGTGACACACGCACACAGGGTGACACACGCACACAGGGTGACACACGCACACAGGGTGACACACACACACAGGGTGACACGCACACACAGGGTGACACGCACACAGGGTGACACGCACACAGGGTGACAACACACACACAGGGTGACACACGCACACAGGGTGACACACACGCACACAGGGTGACACACACGCACACAGGGTGACACACACACGCACACAGGGTGACACACACACGCACACAGGGTGACACACACACAGGGTGACACACACACAGGGTGACACACACACAGGGTGACACACACACACAGGGTGACACACACGCACACAGGGTGACGCACACAGGGTGACACACACAGGGTGACACACACACACAGGGTGACACACACACACAGGGTGACACACACACAGGGTGACACACACACACAGGGTGACACACACACACAGGGTGATACACACACACAGGGTGACATACACACACACAGGGTGACATACACACACAGGGTGACACACACACACAGGGTGACACACACACACAGGGTGACACACACGCACACAGGGTGACACACACACAGGGTGACACACACACACACACAGGGTGACACACACACACACAGGGTGACACACACACACACAGGGTGACACACACACACGCGCACACAGGGTGACACACACACACACAGGGTGACACACACACACACAGGGTGACACACACACACAGCGTGACACATACAGGGTGACACACACACACACACAGGGTGACACACACACACACACAGGGAGACACACACACAGCGTGACACATACAGGGAGACACACACACACACAGGGTGACACACACACAGCGTGACACACACACACAGCGTGACACACACAGCGTGACACACACACACAGCGTGACACATACAGGGTGACACACACACAGCGTGACACACATACAGGGTGACACACACACACAGCGTGACACACACACACAGCGTGACACACACACACAGGGTGACACACACACACAGCGTGACACACACACACAGCGTGACACACACACACAGGGTGACACACACACACAGCGTGACACATACAGGGTGACACACACACACACAGGGTGACACACACACACAGGGTGACACACACAGGGTGACACACACACACAGCGTGACACACACACACACAGCGTGACACACACAGATTACAATGATGACGACGATGACGATGAGACGCTTCGCTGAGCTGCCGTAAGTGACGGGAGAAGTCGGCGTCAGAGCAGGAGCTGTAGAGCCGCTCCCAGTGAAGTCCACCCCCAAGTGGCTGGTGGACTCGGGGTGGCGAGTGATGGTGGGGGGGGGGGCTACTCACGGTCAAGGGGCAGGACGAGGGGGGGTCACAGAGACGCCAGCAACGCCACGAAGCCGCCGCCGCCGGCAGCAGCAGCTGTGGTGATGGTGGAGAAAGAAGCCTCCATTGGGGTGGGGGCAGGGCGGGTGGTCGGACCCCGCCACCAAGTGGAGGGGGTGGGGGGGGAGGGAACTTGGGCGAGCCCATCTCGCAGTGGAGCTGGTGAGCGCCGCGGCCCATTGGCCGGGAGGGCCCCGCCTCTCCCCCCCCCCTCAACATCCACCGCGGTGGTACAGGCCGGGGGGCGGGTGAGTCACGAGACACTGGACTGCACGGTGAGATGTCAAGCGTGAACAACGCGGTGCATTAGTTTATATCTGTGTAGGAAATAATACATTGTCAGTTTTTTTTCTTTTAAAGCACAGTTGGTAGATGAAGATTATATTTTAGGATTGTATAGTGTTGAGTCTATGGTGCAGTGTTGAGTCTATGGTGCAGTGTTGAGTCTATTGTACAGTGTTGAGTCTATGGTGCAGTGTTGAGTCTATGGGCAGTGTTGAGTCAATGGTGCAGTGTTGAGTCTATGGTGCAGTGTTGAGTCTATGGTGCAGTGTTGAGTCTATGGTGGAGTGTTGAGTCTATGGGCATTGTTGAGTCTATGCGGCAGTGTTGAGTCTATGGTGCAGTGTTGAGTCTATGGTGTAGTGTTGAGTCTATGGTGCAGTGTTGAGTCTATGGTGTAGTGTTGAGTCTATGGTGCAGTGTTGAGTCTATGGTGTAGTGTTGAGTCTATGGTGCAGTGTTGAGTCTATGGGCAGTGTTGAGTCTATGGTGCAGTGTTGAGTCTATGGTGCAGTGTTGAGTCTATTGTGCAGTGTTGAGTCTATGGGCAGTGTTGAGTCTATAGTGCAGTGCTGAGTCTATGGTGCAGTGTTGAGTCTATGGGTAGCAGTGTTGAGTCTATGGTGCAGTGTTGAGTCTATGCGGCAGTGTTGAGTCTATGGGCAGTGTTGAGTCTATGGTGCAGTGCTGAGTCTATGGGCAGTGTTGAGTCTATGGTGCAGTGCTGAGTCTATGGGCAGTGTTGAGTCTATGGTGCAGTGCTGAGTCTATGGGCAGTGTTGAGTCTATGGTGCAGTGCTGAGTCTATGGGCAGTGTTGAGTCTATGGTGCAGTGCTGAGTCTATGGGCAGTGTTGAGGGGACTGTCTTGTATCTCGGAAGTGACGTTATGTCACTTTCTGCTGCCGTGTGACGTCACGAGGTAACAGGAAGCTGCCCGCTCCGCGCTTTTTCTGAAATCTGAGGTGATTAATTCTCGTGGTGGTTTGTGGTTGTTGTGGTTGTTGTTGTTGTTTACCAAGGTAGAGCCTCTCGTAGGGATGTCTATTGAGTAGCATTGGAATCGATGTCCAGGTTGGAACATTACAAGGCGCGGCCTGGCCACGCGGGGCTTTGCCTCCTGCCCTCGCCTGAGTTAGTTTAGTTTGTCTTCACGCGGCTCGCCACTTTGTAACTCTGTTTTATTGTTACAGTGAGGGGACAAGTATTTGATCTAAATTTAGATTTAAAACTTCTTTCGTGACTGCAGGGATTCAACTTCTTGGTTCTTTCGGTAAAGTCACGTAGAAGGGAAATAATAAAATAATAAAAATAAAACATAGAAATTCTTATATTACTATTATATTATTTTATTGTTTTATTTTTTGTTGTTTTATTACTTACCTTCTACGTGACTTTACCGAAAAACAATAAAATAATTATATTATTATACCATTTTATTATGTTTTATTTTTATTATTTTATTACTGCCCTTCTACGTGACTTTACCGAAAGAACCAATAAAAAGTATTTGATCCCCTGCTGATTGTGTACGTTTGCCCGCTGACAAAGAAATGATCAGTCTGTAGTTTTAATGGTAGGTTTATTTGAACAGTGAGAGACAGAATAACAACAAAATCCAGAAAGACGCGTCAAAAATGTTATGAATTGATTTGCATTTTAATGAGGGAAATAAGTATTTGACCCCCTCTGCAAAACATGACTTAGTACTTGGTGGCAAAACCCTTGTTGGCAATCACAGAGGTCAGACGTTTCTTGTAGTTGGCCACCAGGTTTGCACACATCTCGGGAGGGATTTTGTCCCACTCCTCTTTGCAGATCTTCAAGTCGTTAAGGCTTCGAGGCTGACGTTTGGCAACTCGAACCTTCAGATCCCTCCACAGATTGTCTATGTGATTAAGGTCTGGAGACTGGCTAGGCCACTCCAGGACCTTAATGTGCTTCTTCTTGAGCCACTCCTTTGTTGCCTTGGGCTGTGTTTTTTTGGTCATTGTCATGCTGGAATACCCATCCACGACCCATTTTCAATGCCCTGGCTGAGGGAAGGAGGTTCTCACCCAAGATTTGACGGTACATGGCCCCGTCCATTGTCCCTTTGATGCGGTGAAGTTGTCCTGTCCCCTTAGCAGAAAAACACCCCCAAAGCATAATGTTTCCACCTCCATATTTGACGGTGGGGATGGTGTTCTTGGGGTCATAGGCAGCATTCCTCCTTCTCCAAACACGGCGAGTTGAGTTGATGCCAAAGAGCTCCATTTTGGTCTCATCTGACCACAACACTTTCACCCAGTTGTCCTTTAAATCATTCAGATGTTCATTGGCAAACTTCAGACGGGCATGTATATGTGCTTTCTTGAGCAGCGGGACCTTGCGGGCGCTGCAGGATTTCAGTCCTTCACGGCGTAGTGTGTTACCAATTGTTTTCTTGGTGACTATGGTCCCAGCTGCCTTGTGTAGTTCTGGGCTGATTCCTCACCGTTCTCATGATCATTGCAACTCCACGAGGTGAGATCTTGCATGGAACCCCAGGCCGAGGGAGATTGACAGTTCTTGTGTGTTTCTTCTATTTGCGAATAATCGCACCAACTGTTGTCACCTTCTCACCAAGCTGCTTGGCGATGGTCTTGTAGCCCATTCCAGCCATGTGTAGGTCTACAATCTTGTCCCTGCCATCATTGGAGAGCTCTTTGGTCTTGGCCATGGTGGAGAGTTTGGAATCTGATTGATTGATTGCTTCTGTGAACAGGTGTCTTTTATAAAGGTAACAAGCTAAGATTAGGAGCACTCCCTTTAAGAGTGTGCTCCTAATCTCAGCTCGTTACCTGTATAAAAGACACCTGGGAGCCAGAAATCTTACTGATTGAGAGGGGATCAAATACTTATTTCCCTCATTAAAATGCAAATCAATTTATAACATTTTTGACACGCGTTTTTCAGGATTTTTGTTGTTGTTATTCTGTCTCTCACTGTTCAAATAAACATACCATTAAAATTATAGACTGATCATTTCTTTGTCAGTGGGCAAACGTACAAAATCAGCAGGGGATCAAATACTTTTTTCCCTCACTGTAAATATTCACGCAGTTTCTATTTTTCATTTTTTGTACCAGGCCAAGCCGGCTTGAGCTGCTCTACCACTCTTGTTCTCAGAAGCTACCTGCCCACAACGCAAGGTGAGGCTTTGTGAACTTGTGTGTGAATGTGTGGACTTAAAACTTTCGTGACTGCAGGAATTCATATTCTTGGTTCTTTCGGTAAAGTCACTTAGACAGAAAATTTAATAAAAATAACAGATGATGAAATAAAAATTATAAAATTGTAAATAAAGAGAAAAAACACGACGTTTCGATCGCAACACAAGTGGTCTTTATTTTATTTAATTTTATTATCTATTATTGATATTTTCTACCTACGTAACTTTACCGAAAGAACCAAGAATACGTGTGGAAATGTGTATCGGTCAAAGACGCTAAACGCGTACTGATGTTGACTCTAAATGTGGAGGGCAAACCCGGGGAATCCGGAGGAAAATCCACGCGACCACGGAGAGAGAGACACGCAAACTCCAAATATACAGCAGCAGCAGGCGCCAGGGCCGGGATCGAACCCACGACTTCCTGTACACCAGGTGAGGTAGTTAACATCTCACCACGGAGAGAGAGAAACACGCAAACTCCAGTTAGCCTCGGCTATGTTGATTGATCCTCAATTAATTACTTGGTGGAGTGAGGAATCATTTATTCTGAGCAGATGAAGGTGGCCAGGCATGGGTCTGGACACACCACCACCTGTGAACCATGCCAGTGTGTGACAGTGTCAAGTTTGTGTTTGCAGTAAAGTCTATTAACTCTATTGAACACAGAGGTTATATCACAACAATAGTTTATTTTGTTTTCCTCTGGAACTCTTTGTAAGAATGGAAACAGGAAGTTAACACAGCACACACGTGCAGCTGAAAGTCGGATCTGTTCATCCCAGCCTTCAAGGACATCTGAGCCTGGATTCACACCTGAGTTGCGATTGAACATGAATTTATGCATTTCTGCATAACACAAATAGAATTGTTTTAACACCCTTTGCAATGTCAGCTGAATTTAGCTTTTATACATATTCCTTTTGTAGCCAGACAGCCGAAATTGTGTGCTCGGAGTTTTGGGTTAACATTCATTTTTAAGATACGAGGGCTCCCAGGCATATTTATGACCACTTGCCCTCTCATTGTGTGCCATTACAGCCCGTGTGATGAATTTGAGAAACGTTTTTACTACATAATGAATATATGAATAAGTATAGACGTGTAAGTCACGTGTGACTGTACGTATGCGTTCTTCTGTGCATAGATACCGGAGTGGATATATTCTTAGGTTTTTTCGGTAAAGTCACGTAGGTAAAACATTTTAATTAATAAAAGTAAAATAAAACAAATTAAAAAATTGACGACGTTTCGGAAGCAACACAAGCCTCCGTCTTCAGGTGGAAACGTCACAGCCACGACAGCTGTATTTTTTTTGTATTTTCTTTTTTTACTTGATACAGCTGTCGTGGCTGTGACGGTTCCACCTGAAGACGGAGGCTTGTGTTGCTTCCGAAACGTCAATTTTTTAATTTGTTTATTTTTACTTTAATTTAATTTTTTTACCTACGTGACTTTACCGAAAAAACCTAAGAATATGAATCCTTGCAGTCACGAAAGCTTCAAATCTAGAATGGTGTGGATATTCCTATTATCTGTCTGCAGCTGACGCTTCCTTCGACGCTTCCTCTGCAGAATTGGTCTGATGGAGCAAAGGCAGTCAGCACAGCTCGGTACGGCAAGGCAACAATGCGACCAGAGTGCATACAGCACGGAGCGCACTGGAAATTTGACACAGCACCAGAGAACACACACAGGAGAGAAACGTTTCAAGTGCACTGTGTGTGGGAAGGCCTTTGCAAAGTCACGTAATCTTGTAATACACCAGAGAACACACACGGGAGAGAAACCCTTCAAGTGCAGTGTGTGTGCGAAGGCATTTTCTCATTCATCTG